TTGGAATTGGAAGCATACAAAAGTTTGTAGTAGTTAATGAAGAGTTAGTAAATCTACAAATATTCTTTTTATTTTGTATTTCCTTTAAAAATGCATCTCTTTATCTTATTAACTAATCAGTAATAAATTCTATTCTCACTAAAAAACAACAGGAAGTTAGCTCTCCAACTATCACTATTTAATGAGTTCATCGATAATGAAGGCTAGAAAATTGGCGAGAACATGAACAATTTTCCAATTATAGTTTTTAAAAGGTTAAAGGTCAAGCCTTTTAATGGTAGTTAAGCCAGCTATCTTATTATACATTTACACACTATCCTTTATCTTACAACTGTATCATCCTACCTCTTACTCTTAACTAAGATTACTACTTTGTACTTTTTTTGCAAAAGAATTGCTCTATCTATTAGGAAATACTTAGCTATGTTGATTGATCCACCTATTCAGGAGGTTATGCAACTAAAAAATTGATAATCTCTACTTTTTACTGGAATAGTTATTGAGAGACTTTTCTTTTTTAAATTTTAGGTCCTAACAATAAAGAAATTATCACAGGGCTACAGAAAATGCAATGTTGTTTGTATAATTCATCAAAGATAAATCCTATGCTTGATAATAATCCTGACCTTTTCACTCATTTATTTCAGGCTTATTTACTTTCTCCAATCAACTCAAAAGGTAACAACATACGAATTTATACTCATCACCCTTTGTCATAATTATATTCCTGATCTTTACAATTTTCTTGATTTAGTTTGCATGGGTGAGAGCTTCTATGTCATTTGAGAACATTTTCCAGCGCTATTGGTATATGGCGTGTAAAAAATGCTTCAAAGCAACAGATGTCTCGTATGGATATTCATACTCATGCAATAAGTGTTCTGAGTATCAAAAAGCTACTCCAAGGTTTATTATGATTATAGTTGTTAACTTACTCTTATTTGGACCAATTTGCTATCATCACTAATATTAGAAAAATGCATTCTAAAACAGGTGTCGATTTGATGTTATCTTTTCTGATAAAAGTGGAAGAGTACCTGCAACTTTGTTTGGTGATTTAGCTGAAAAACTTTTAACTTATTCTACCTTGGATGCAATGTAGTACTTTCATAAAGTAATTTCTTCATTACATCTATAGTACTTATACAACTTTTATTTTCTGAAATGCACTTCAATAATAACATTCTATTGATTCTTGATTTTTCCCCAGAATATTGAGCTTCCATTAATGCATGTTCATGAAGCTTTACGGACTAAAGAATTTGCAGTTCAAATTCAACCAGCTGCGAACCATTATGGAGATCTTCAGCAGCGCTATACAATTCTTCATTACTATGAGTCAAATTTTGCTAAAATTTCAACACAGCAAACTATTGAATCTCTCGATTTTTCTTACTAGAATCTCCCTTGCAAAATCCTACTGCTGAAACACAAGGTATTTTTCCATAAATTCCAAAGTTATTCAACTGTATGCTGGTTTTATTATAGAATTCCCATTAATTTGGCATATAACATCGATGTTACTGGTTTTTTTTTGCTTATATTCTTCTGACAGAGATGTGCAAAGCCCTATCACAAGTGTTCGCATTAATCTGGCAAGCAGATTTGATGAAGCAGCCACACCTCAAGCAAACAGCCCAGAGACTAGCTCTGAAGTTATCTCTGCATCTAAAAAGACAAAACTAGCTTAATGCTCTCCATCTCTTTACTTGTATCTACAATCATGTTTCTTCATCAGGTCAAAAAGCTTTCATCCTTGAACAACTAAGTTCCAGGTAAAAATTTATTCACCTCTTTCATTCCTATTCTCATCCTTGTTTTATTTCTATATTAACCTTTTGTCTACTACATTCATACTAAAACTCAACTTACACTGCTTCCTGCTAGCTACTACAAAGGCCTTCATTGCTCTACCATGGCTATAAACACTGATTTTGCAAGTTCATTCGTACCATCAACACCAATGGACAATGTCACAAAATGTTGCTTTTTGCTAAAATGCAGCAACAAACAAAAGGTCTTCATATTTACTTTCAATACTCTATAGCTTTTTAATTAATCATATACTACATATTGTTTCACTCAACTCAATCTTTAACAAAAAAAATATTCTGTAGAGCCTTTCAACTGAATTCATCTTTCTATTGGAACATTATAAAAAATGCAATATTACAATTGTACAGAGCTTCAAGTCATGGAACCTTGAGGTTGATAATGGCAGCTTTGCATCTGGATGGTTGGAATTTAGAAAAGACAACCCGATCCATACAGACAGCAAAATACTTCTTTGACACAATGGAGACTTGAAGTTTGATCTAATGTTATTCTCAAAGTTCAAGATGAACACAAAATTCCCTTGGACAGTCCCACTCTCTGATATACTAAAGCAACATGTTCCAGGAAGCAATGGTATGTTAAGCTCAAATCCTTTTCTACCAAATCCAAAAAGATTAGCTACATAGTCATATCACACAAATTTTATTATTCATCACTTATACCAGATAAAAAGGCTAAATACATCTTATATCAACATGTTTGCTCATCAATAAAGCCAAACATAGTTCAAGATGAAGCAGATTCTATAGCTTTTTATCAAGTTTATAACAAGAAAAATAGAGACAAATTTGTAAGTCTATGTGCTCAGTCCTTTTATCATTTCCTTAACTAATCTCTTATACACTACTTTACACACATGAACTATTTTTCCCTGCCTTTTTCATTAGAAAATTCCAAAGTTTCTCGAACATATCATAGATAGCAATAAAACTCCAGTTGTCACTTTAAGAACTGGATATAAAGCTTTTTAAGTTGGAATGCAAGGAAGGCAATTCACAAGCTACTAGGAAATCTTCATCAAAACACATGAGTTGGAACTAGGCGAGACTTTGGTCTTCATCCCATAGTCCATTAATAGCTTTATAGTCTAGATTTACAAACCAAATGGAGTTGAGAAACTTTTTCCTAGGTATCAAGTATTATGTGTATTCTTATTTGTAGATTCCTTTCAGATGCTAACTATGAACAAATAATTCATCTTTTCTTCAAGTAAGATTCACTAATGTCTTTTGTCAATTGTATGACAATATAGATTCTTACTAACATTTATGTGCTATAACAGTTTAAGTTTTAAAGATTTTATTTACTTTGCTTTTCCTTCTTTATCAGATAGCACCAATAGATTTTTCCTTTTTAATTTGTCACCTTTTCATTTACCAAGTCATATACTGCAATAAACATCAAAACTTTATCCAATAATCTGCATAGATACACATGACCATTAACAACAAATTATTAGACAAATAAGCAACTACTTATTTAATAATACCACAACACATAAGCTATTAGCTGCAAGCTACAAAGTAATAACTCCAACATCTATCACACACCAATTACAGCAAGTTTTTTAGTCATTTTGACTATAGAAACTATGAGAACTCTCAAGGGAAGGTGATATTGGTTGCCGCAGCATTTGCTCTTCAACATCTGCCTTCATTCTTGAAGCAATTAGTTGCAACATAGGTAGACTTCTACCACTTACTAAAGCACTGTCCAAAACAAATCCCCAACTTTCATGCCTATAAAATTGCTTGAACAAATCATAGATCTCATTTTTTAGCAGAATACTATTTGCTTGAGCTCGTGCAAGAGGTTCAGCTTGCCGATTGTGACAACTATTACCCATAGGAAAACAAGCGCCACCAAGAATTGTCAATCTATTCAATTCTTCCTCCAACTCTAGATAATCATCTTGAACATTTGGAAACCCTTGACTTGCAGCTGCCATCTAAATACAAATAAACCGTACAAAAATGTTAGTTTCAAAAAAAGCTCATCAACCAACAAAGACCTAAATATCTAAGCATAAGATCCTTACCTCTTATCTAGAACTCACATCACATATATATTTTGCTACCTTTAATACAAACACGTCATACCAAGATTAATGCTGTCAAAAGTAAAAAATAACAGATTTCTACTGTGCACATGTGAATCCTAAAAGCAAACTTCCAGTGCCATCTAACTTCAATAAACACAAATTGGATGGCAAATTTTTATCCATAGGATTCTTCACGCGAAACACAACCAAAACTCTAATAAAAAAATGATGTGTCAATGCAACACAATTAAAGACAACCTTACGTTATTTAACTACTATCAAAGAAAAAATATGTTTAAATAAGCTATAATTTTAACCTATTCATTAAATGCTTATTTCAACCTATCCTCTAAATATAGACCTTAATTAGCCAATTAATTTCGTAAACATCTTAGTTATCAATATATTTACCAATAGATAAGTCACACAAATAACAAATATAATGTATAAGAAAATAATATATTACATTAATTTTAGATATCTTAATGATCTATTGCCATTTTTTTGTTCTAATCAATTCTCTCTCTTTTACATTTCAAATATCCATCCATACTAATTAAACTCAAAACAACTACATATTACAATATTTATACAAAACATTGGATTTATATTTAAAAAAATTCAAACCTTAATTCAAATCCATCCCTCTTCTCTTAATTTCATATTCCAAAACTAAATTAAAATTTGAGATTCAAGTTTTTTCTATTTTGCATTATGAATGTTTAATTAAGAACAAACTCTCCCATTCTATGTTTATATCCATAAATAAACACTTAGTTTAATATGCCTTTAATAAGTAATTTATAACAAGATTAATACTTGTCAAAAAAATCCTATTCCAAATGCTTTGGTATAAAATACAATTATACAGCGATACAAATTTCCAAACAAAAAAATTAAAAATCTTGTTTTATCTAAACATTACTAAGTATAGCTATCTTATTTCCAAAGAAATATTATTCACTTTAACTATTATTCATTAACCTAAGTTTTATTACAATAGAATTTACTACATTTATTCTACATACTATTAATACTTTCTTTTTATCATACAGAGTTATACATGCTTACAACATACAAAATGCACAATTTATTCACCACTTATATTCATATACGACATTCGTTCATTAAATTTATATTAAACATTAATGATCTTCTTTCCCAACCTTTGTATATCCATAGTCAATTACTAATATTCATATAACACTCATAATAGAACAAAATACAATTTTTTCAAAGATGAGCTGGCACAAATCTTGCGCTGCATCGGATTGCCTTTTTTTTTTGTATAGAATTCTTATAACCTAGTCTGGCCTAAGCTAAGGCTCTAACAACCATCTCCGCTGCCGTTCTCAATGTCTCGTTCAGCTCTAGTCCGAAGCCACTCCACAATGTCTCCAAACACGCGCTCGACATCCTCGTCAGACTCACCAACCAGCTGGTGCCACATGCCGGGATATATGTGGATGGTCTTATCCTTACTGGCAGCGCGTTTGTACAAATCCTCCGCACACGCGGGGTCGCATATTTTGTTATCACCACCGTGCACTATCAGAAGTGGCACCGTCACCTCCTCAAACCTGCCTTGCAATTCCCTGCTCAACCTCAGCAGTTCCTGCGCCGTGGCAGCCCGTGGCATAGCCAATGGCCTTTTTGGGCTTGCCACTGCTAACTTCCTCTTCCACTCCACCTTTGATTAACCAAAATGAACAAGAAATACGTGATGAAAACTTCGATTACTTGAAAAATTTTATGCCAAATCGGCATTTTCAATGAAACCCATTTCTTTTTCATATAGCTCGTATGATCATATGAACCAATAAGAGCATGCCGGACAAGATTTGTTGCTTGTTATTAACTTCATAAAAAGGGTACTAAATAAGTGTAAAGTTTCAAATTTACCTACAAACGAATGACGCTACTCGATTGGGTGTGTTCGACTTGTTAAGACTCGTTGGAACGACAATTAAGTCAGACTCCGATACGCTTAAAAAAATCATTAACAGAATCAAATCAAGCTTTAATGTTATAGTTTAGAGTTGTTTATAACCTAATTATGCAGGTCTAATTCATAAAATATCACTTTGTATTCGTAATAGCGTGCGTCTATTTTTTTTCTTGCACAGAAATGATCAATGTACCTAATCACCAAAAGGAACACAATATCATGCGAAAAACTAACAATTACTCCGACGAGGTAAAAGAGAAATAATTGCTAGAACACAATTGCTGAAAAGGAATCAAAATTACTAGGGAGTAGTAAAACAGTTGCTCTAAAAGTTTTCACGTAAGAATCTGACCTTGAAGGAGACCTCAGGAATCCTCCCGCGAGTGGGGATCACAGGCCAAGTGGGAACCACAGCGGCAACGATGGGAAGAAAATGCTCCAGCGGCCACGGCGGCTTAAACTTGTCGCTGACGCCACACATAGCTCCATTCAAAACGATGCCGTCGTACGGCCTTTTCAAGTCCTTCCGGAGGGTAATCAAGAGCGCAATCGCCCCACCAAGCGACTCCGAGTACAGAAACGTCGGCCAATCGGGAGGCGCATGGCGTTCACGGAAGTCATCAAAGAAGGCTGCGCAGTCGTCGACGACGGGATTGATGTCGGGAACGTGAGCCTGGAGACCCTCCGAGAACCCGTGGCCCTGGTGGTCGATAGCGCAGACCGCGAATCCCTGTTTGGCGAGATGGACGGAGGTGAGCTGCACGAACCAACTGGACTCGCAGGTGAAGCCATGGACGACGCAGACGACGCCGAATAGGGGCTTGGCAGAATCGGGAAGTGGGATCCACCATTGAGTAAATAGTTTAAGGCCACGAGGATTCGTGATGAACTCGGTGCCATGAGTGACCTTATGGCGAGCGTAGAATTCCTCCGGAGTCAACGACCCAAATGGGCTCTTCTCGTTAGCTTCCGCAACTGGGTGCAAGGACATTATCTTAGTTTCTTGCTTTCTTTTGATGATTATTTTGTAGGGGACGGAGGTTTCTGGCCGTTGAGCGTGGGGCGTGGAGTATTATATGCTAAGCCAACGCCCCCCGCCCCCTCTCTCTCTCTCAGTTGCTTGGAAACTCTGCTGCAAATGCCCTTTTTTTCCTACTGATGCATGCTTAAACATTAAGCAGTGTTTTGAAAACCGGATCGGATCGGCCGGTTGAACCGCAAATCGGTCATGGCACCGGTTCGATTTTATGTTAGTGTTGATTTTGTCAGAAAATCAGTCAAATTCGATCAAAATCATGAAAATTGCTGAATCGGATCGGACCGGATTGAACCGGTTTTCAAGTTTTCCCCCCCCCTCCTTTTTTTTTTAAAAGTTTTGCAAAATGCTTCTATCAAGACCTTTGCAATACAAAACCAATATAGTAACCATTGCACCATCACATCTTATTTGTTTTTTTTTGATAACTTATATATAAATATATATAACAAACATCCATATTTCTTTTTTCCATTTTTCCTACAAAATCTCATTCTTTCATGACTCTTTTTTTTTTTAATCTTCAACACACACACACACACACACTCTCTCTCTCCCCTCTTTTTTTTGTCACTCTCTTTTTAATCAAACCTCTTTAGTTTTTATTTATTGATGTTTTCTTCCATCTTTTTAATTTTGTTTTTGTCCATTAAATTGAAAAAAGTTAAAAAAGAATTATTTTTCTTTAACCCAAATTATTTAATGCTACAACCACTCATTTTTTGTTTCTTATCAAGTTTACATTTCTATTTTTGATTCTCTTGACTTCTTCGAACTGCAAATTTTTTTTTTAAAATTGCAATCTCTAAATCCCAAAGACGTAAATTAAAATTTAAGTTCACAATGTCAAATTCTCATAGACTTGAATTTCGTATAATTTCAAGATATTGTGATATTTTTGGATTGGATTTAAGATTATTTTGGTAAATATAATTGAAATTGAAATGAAATTTATTTGTTTTAACTTATAATTTAAAAATTTTATTTTTGAAAATCCAAGTTATTCAAAAATAGTAAATTTTTCATCATATAAAGTTTTAAATTAGTCTATTGCATGTCTTATTTTGTGCATATATATATATTTATATAAATTATTTTTTTAAAAATTCATTGAACCGGGATTGAACCGATCCGACCGATTAAATCTCGATCCTTTCACTTCATCGATTCAATTGACGGTTCGGATTTTAAAACATTGACATTAAGTGTAGAATTGAGAAAACCAGAGCTGATTTGATAGCCATTGTTGGAAGAATTTTGATGGGGACGGAATCATGCAAAATGTCACCATAAAAGTTGGCCCAGCATCACAAGCTACCAAAAAGAGGAAGGCACTTTTTTTTGACGCGCAAAGGAGGAAAATTCAGACTAAGAACAGGAAGGCACTTTTTTTTTTTAGAATAAGAACAGGAAGGACGAAAATTGATGAGAAAAATGCTTTTTTCATCATTTCATATCTCCCATAATTATTGACGGGACTTCGCACCGTCCATGTTTTGGAGCAAAGATAAAGATGCCCTGGTAAATAGTATACGACTTTATGTGGGTGGACTGGAGTTGCCATCTAAGTAGACCCTTGAGAACATCTAAAAGTTGACAAGCCAGTGTCGCAGAGTTTTCTAAGAAAAAGGCAATAATTTCCATACCCCAGTTTCACTCTTCATCGAGCTTGAATCTAAGCTTAGCTCCATCGCCAGGGCCAATTTGTCATTTTCAATATTCTTGTAGGACTTTAGCACTTGACTTGGAAAAATTTTTAAAAAGAATTGTTGCAGTATTATTTCAAAAACTTTTAATCAGTTAAATTGATAGGTCGCAATTCTGTCATTTATTTTATAATTAATTCCCTCATATTATCTTATCAAATATATATTAATTGGTGAATTCTATTTACTTTTGGTATTTGTACTGATCACAAGGAATTAGAGCAAAATGTGGTAAAAATGTGCAAATTTTGCACTACAAATGCTGTTTGGCGTGATCGCGTCAACTCAGATCTTAACGTGTTCAGAAGGTGCGGGAAAGATGTGTGACACCAACTCTCATTTGGAAGTTCAACGTGGTGCCCGGAATATTCCATTAATGATTGTTTAATTTGAGTTGACAAAGGTAGTTTAGTAATAATAGGAAACTTACTAATTAGTAGTTTCCTTGTTTGTGGGCGGCGGCTCAATAGGAAAGGAGTCAAATTGGAATTTATGATTCCCAGTTTTATTGGTTAGTTTTTGGGAAGAGCCAGCCGCAGGAAAATGGGGGAGGGAGGGCGGGGGTTTGCTAGTTTTCCTACTATTCCATGGTGTGCCGCAGAGGCAATCAAAAAACTTTAGTCGGTCTTTTGACTTTGTAGTTTTTCCTTATTCTTATTCATTCGGATTTTTCATCTGAATTGAGGACGATGCACTCAACAATTATTACTGCAATTTTGCGTGGGATTATTCCAACAGAGATGAACTAAATCTTTTTTTCTAGTTAAGAAATAACAGAAACTTTGGTTCATCTAAAAATTGTGAGATTGAATTAATTTTATTTATTTCTTTTATTTACTAGTATTTACATATTCTCTGATTGTAGTACTTATGGTGGTTCTATTAATTGAGTATTCAGGACTCGGACGTTGAATTAATTTAGCAATCTAATGTCAATTGGAGCGTTAAATCCGTAATTGTTTAATTGTTTCAAAATAGTGACAATTAGCGTGATTGGATTTGTATCAGTGGAATACGCGGGCTAATCTAAAATAACCCTGATAGTGTGTTATTTGGTTAGAATAGGACTCTTCTAATACGCAAGGCAACTGGGGAATTAAATATTACGGTCGTACCTAGAATTATTTCTCGATTAAAGTAGTGATTCATGGTCGTACCTTAATCACCGACATAGTAAGGAGGAGTTGACTGTCATTGCTTGTTTAGCAGTTATAACTTATTTATTAGTCAATAATTAGAATTACCTTTGCATCGATGATCAATTAGGTGAACCATTGCTGAAATTATTTCTTGGCTAGAGCTTAGTTATTAATTTGGTTTTAATAATTTGCCGTTTAATTTTTAGTTGGTTATTTGTTTTTATTTGCATCGTTTAATTATTATCATTTATATACGAAGACACCCCCTTGTCAGTTTGAATTTCAAAAGAGACAATTATCCTTAGTTCCTGTGAATTCGACCCTACTTATCACTATCTACAGATATTATACTATGTTTGAGTAGGTTTTTATTATTGCACGGCTCGACAACCTATCAATTTTTTAAGTTAAACTGATTAATTAGTTATTTAATCAGTTATTTAACTGATTAATTAATTATTTAATTTATATTGTTCCCATATGTATGTTGCCGACGACGGTATAGACTTTGTCAAAGAAAACGAACTCCACAACATTGTGACACGTCGCACAAAATCACCAGCCATGAAACCACATTTAGCAATCAAGCAGCTCCTTCAGCTAACTCTTTCTTGATCAATTTTAACATGTCCAAAACCTGCATAGTGCAGTCATTTAGACGACAGACGCTAAGTAAAACTTGCAGGAGACAAAAAAGAGGCAAAAGAAAGCAGTGCAGGAGTGAAGTAAGCCTTATGTAGTGTTTCAGTATCTTACAAAGCCCAGCATTTATGTAAAACATAATTCTGCTCACCCCAAAATATGGAGATAGAACTGCTGAATATTGGCGTAGTATTAAGTATATGTTCTCGAGTAGGCATAGAAGTTTGCCCACTTGATTCCCAAGCAAATCAACCTGTACAAATGAAGAAATCGCTGGTCTGTAGGGTATAAAACATTCAAAGCTCATTGTAATCTTGAGCTTTTTTTTTCGTAAAATTCTAATGATATAGGTTCCGTTTGATAAAACTGAATGTGAATTTTGAAGTCTGAATTCTGAAATCTGAATACTGAAACAATTAATTTGCTGAATTTTAAGCACTGAAAAGAAATATATGAATATCTGAATTTTAATGCTAAACCTATTTATACCGTTTGATAAATTTTTATAACTGAATGCTTAATAAGTTTAATTTGACAATTTTACCCTTATATCTTTTCATTCAAAAAAGAAATAGAACCTATGATTTAATTAGTTTAAAATAATTAGGTATAAAAATGACAATATTTATTTTTAAATCAAATTAATATAAAAGATGAAATATATTATATGAGGAGTACGGAGAAAATGTGAAAGTCATTAAAAAAGGAGAAAAGAGAAACTGAAAACCATTAGATAGAAAATATCGAGTTGTTTAATTAGATAAGAATTTTGAACATAATTAACAAATAAGGGTAAATTTGGTAGATAGATAAGATATTTGAAATAATTCTATTGATTCTTATCAGAATTAAGCATTCAGTTAGGATCATTGTACTGAAAAAAATACACACAAGTTCAGCACTGCTTAACAAGTTTGGTAGATAGATTTTCATTTATCAAACACTCGAAACATCTGAATGTCTGAAAAGGTTCAGTTTCAGCGTTTTTTATGTTATCAAACAGACCCATATTCGATTATAGAAAAATATAGTAAACAAGAAGTAAGTTCTGTTTCAAGATAATTGGCAGCTAGTTTTTGAAAAATTCACTTGTGCTTTCAGCTACCTCAGTTTCAGCTAATTGCAAATTGTGGGATCTAGTTATGAAAGCCTTCTTGTAAAGCGACTTCTTTTTTCTTATTGAGGTCGCAAGCTGAGCTAATCCATTTGTTTGATGCTTCAGCGTCTCCACCCTGGAAACAGATTTTTAAAGTCTCATAAGCTTTCTTATGATCCCAAGATACAAATGCTTTCCAGCAAAATAATCAATTTACCTAAAGACAAAAATATTTGCAGACTAGTAGTTTGCAGACACCAAATAAAGAGATTGATCCTTCTTCCTTGGCTCAAATGGAAGGGTGCAACAATGTACAAGTTTTAGAATTCTTTCTTGAGATAAATTAATACGCTGTCTTGGTATAATTATTTATCACTGCAACCCAGGGGCCCTTAGAATTCTATAGTGGGGGCACTGGGACCTTTAAATTTCTATAGTATTCATAGAATTTTAATAT